CATAATTTCTTTATCTAGTTGAGAGTTGGTGGACATTTGGGTTGATTCCATATCTTAGCCATTGTGAATGGAGCTGCAGTAAACATGGGGGTACAGATAACTCTTTCATATGCTGATTTCATTTCCCTTGGGTAAATTCCCAGGAGTGCAATGGCTGAGTCATATGGTAAGTCTATATTCAGATTCCAGAGATATCTCCATACTGTCTTCCACAGTGGCTGTACCAGTTTACATTCCCACCAACAGTGGATTAGGGTATCTTTTCTCCTATATCCTCACCAGTATTTGTTGATTTTTATATGAAAGGCATTATGATGGGAGTGAGGTGAAACCTCATTGTGGTTTTGATTTGCATTTCCCTGATGGCTAGTGATCTTGAGCATTTTTTCATGTGTCTGTTGGTCATTTGGATTTCCTCTTTTGAAAAATGTCTATTTAAGTCCTTTGCTCATTTCTTACTGGGTTGTTTGTTTTGTTGTTATTGAGTTTCTTTTTTTAAAATGATGTATTATTTATTTGAAAGACAGAGTTACAGAAGGGGAGAGAGAGAGAGAGAGAGAGAGAGAGAGAGAATATGGATCTTCCATCTGCTGGTTCACTCCCCAAATGGCTGCAGTGGTTGGAGCTGAGCCAGTCTTAAGCCAGGTGTCATGAGCTTCTTCCAGGTTTCCTTATGTGGGTGTAGGGGTCCCAGAACTTGGGCCAACCTCTGCTGCTTTTCCAAGTGCATTAGCAGGGAGTTGGGTTGGAAGTGGAGCAGCTGGGACTTGAATTGGTGCTCATATGGGATGCCAGTGCTGTGGGCTGGGGCTTTAACCTGCTGCATCACAGTGCTGGCATCCATGCTTCAAACTTTTCCCCATTCAGTAGGATGCTGGCCATGGCTTTGTCATAAATTGCCTTGATTGTGTTGAGGAATGTTACTTCTATATCCAATTTGCTTTAAGTTTTCATCATGAAAAGATGTTGTAATTTATCAAATGCTTTCTCTGCATCTACTGAAATAATCATATGATTTTGTTCTTCAGTTTGTTAATGTGATGCATCACATTGATTGATTTGTGAATGTTGACCCACCCTTGCATACCAGGGATGAATCCCATTTTGTTTGGGTGGATGATCTTTCTGATGTGTTGTTGGATTTGATTGGCTAGTATTTTGTTGAGAATTTCTGCGTCTATGTTCATTAGGGAAATTGGTCTGTAGTTCTGTTTCTATGTTGTATCTTTTTCAGGTTTGGGAATTAAGGTGGTGCTGGCTTCATAGAAGGAACTTGGGAAGATTCCCTCCCTTTTGATTATTTTGAACAGCTTGAGAAGAATTGGAGTTAGTTCTTTAAATGTCTGGTAAAATTCAGCAGTGAAGCCATCCGGTCCTGAGCTTTTCTGTTGTGGGAGGGTCTGCATTACTGATTCAGTTCTCTTGGATATTGGTCTGTTGAGGTTTTTCTGTCTTCATGGCTCAATTTAAGTAGGTTGTATGTGTCCAGGAATCTATCCATTTCTTCTAGATTTCCCGATTTGTTGGCATACAACTCTTTGTAGTAATTTCTGATGATTCTTTTTATTTCTGTGGTATCTATTGTTAAATTTCCTTTTTCATCTCTAGTTTTATTGATTTGGGTCTTCTTCCTTTTTCTTTTTTTAGTTAGTTGAGCCAATGGTATGTCAGTTTTGTTTATTTTTTTCCAAAAAACTAGCTCTTCATTTTGCTGATCTTACGTGTGTGTGTGTTTTTTTTTTTTTTTGGTTTCAATTTTGTTGATTTCTTCTCTAATTTTAATTTTTTTCTTCTACTATTTTTGGGTTTGGTTTGCTGTTATTTTTCTAGGTCCTTAAGATACATTGATAGCTCATTTATTTGGTCTCTTTCCATTTTTTTTTTGATGTAGGCATCAATTGCTATAAACTTTCCTCTTAACACTGCTTTTGCTGTATGCCATAGTTTTGATATATGTATTATTTCTTCATTCATTTCCAGAAATTTTTTGATTTCTCCTATGACCCACTGTTCGTTCAGGAACTTGTTGTTCAATCTCCATGTGTTTGCATATGTTCTAGAGATTCTTAAGTTGTTGGTTTCCAGCTTAATTCCATTGTGGTCCGAGAAGATGCATTATATGATTTTGATTTTTTAGAATTTCGTGAGACTTGCTTTATGGCCTAGCATGTGGTCAGTCCTAGAGAAAGTTCCAGGCATGGGTACAAGAATGTGTATTCTGCATCTTAAGGATGAAGAATCTATAGATATCTTTTAGGTCCATTTGGTCTATAGTGTCAGTTAACTCTGTTGTTTCCTTGCTGATTTTCTGTCTGGTTGATCTGTCCCTTGCTGAAAATGGGATATTGAAGTCCCCCATGACTATGTCTATGTCGCCCTCTAGATCCATTAACATTTCTTTTAAATAGCCAGTGCCCTGTAATTGGGTGCCTATACATTTATTTATTTTTTATTTATTTATTTTTTTGACAGGCAGAGTGGACAGTGAGAGAGAGAGACAGAGAGAAAGGTCTTCCTTTGCTGTTGGTTCACCCTCCAATGGCTGCCGCAGCTGGCGCGCTGTGGCCAGCGCACCGCGCTGATCCGATGGCAGGAGCCAGGTACTTATCCTGGTCTCCCTTGGGGTGTAGGGCCCAAGTACTTGGGCCATCCTCCACTGCACTTCCCTGGCCACAGCAGAGAGCTGGCCTGGAAGAGGGGCAACTGGGACAGAATCTGGCGCCTCAACCGGGACTAGAACCCGGTGTGCCGGCGCCGCAAGGTGGAGGATTAGCCTAGTGAGCCGCGGCGCCGGCCTGTGCCTATACATTTATTATAGTCACCTCTTCTTGTTGAATTGATTCCTTAATCTTTACATAGTGTTATTTCTGTCTCTTTTAACATTTTTTTTGGTGTTAAATTCTATTTTATCTGATATTAGGATGGCTATACCAGCTCTTTTTTGGTTCCTGTTAGCATCGAATATCTTTTTATGTCCTTTTATTTTCAATTTGCATGTATCTTTGTTGGTAAGATGTGTTTATTATAGGCAACAAACTGTTGGATTTTGCTTTTTAATCAATTCAGCCAGCCTGTATCTTTTAACTGGAGAGTTGATTCCATTTATGTTCAAGGTGACTATTGATAAGTAATGACTTGGCCCTGCCATTTTTTCCATAAATATTCCTGTTGTTTACTTTGGATTTCCTTTGTATTTTTACTGGGAGATTTTCTGCCTTCACCTCCTCTCCTCCAAGGAGACCAATGCCTAGTTGCTAGCCCCAGAGGGTACAATATTCATCCATGCTGCCACAGGAAACACAAAGGATCTGTTCAGTCCTCTGTATGAGCACAGATCAATCAACAATGACTCTCACCAGGCAATCAGGGAGCCCCGAGCATGTGGAGCCACTGCTTGGAGACCCAGCCACACCCTGAGCCTTCCCATGCAGCCAGTGTTCTCACACTCTGTCGTAGCACACATGGTTCTTACAGCCATGGGCACCCAGCCCCCTGTCAATTCTCCCAGCCAGACTCAGGCATCTCCTCCCAGCTGGTTGCTGGGCTTGCAGACACAAGCTAGTACCCGCCCTCTCTTAGCTGGTTATAGGTCACCAGTGCTGGGTGGTTAGGGAGAAACGGATGTGCCTCCCCTTCTTTTCTTCCCTCTAGGTTGGCAGGTATGCTGTCCACCACCAGGCTCCAAGCTGGACTCACACCAGGCTCTTCCTGTAGCTTCATCACTAGTGGCTTGGGCTGCTGCAGTCTGGTCTTACCTCACTCTCCAAAGTTGGTGTTGAGGCTCTTGGCTGCTGGGGCCCTGAACTGTGCACGTCCACACCCTCCACGTAGATCCAGTGTCCCTCTAATTTGCCTGGAGTTTCGTTTGCAGTTTTCTCCCTAACTCTTCCCTGAGATTGTACTCTCTCCACCTTTTTTTAGCTGTCTTTCCCTAGACTAGAGCAGTTAGCCCCCTCCCTATTGCACCATCTTGGATCTTCCTCTCTTTGCTCTTTTCATGCAAGCTTTCGTTGCTTCTCCATGAGTGGGTAGAAAGTGGCTGCCTTACACAACCCTGAGGCCCAGCACTCAGTAGAGAATGGCTGGTGTTTCTGAGCCTTTGGGGAACTCACAGGGATTCCTTTGTCCCTCCAGCAGGACTCAGATGCAGTGTAGAGAGTCCCTGGGCTTGCCAGGACCCTGGGGACAGAAGTGAAGGAAGCTGTTAGTGGTGATGACAACAAACCAGGCGGTGGGGAGGGGTGAGGGAGAACCTGAGACCAACAGCTGCAGTGTCTGCTTTGCCAGTGAACCTGATCTTGAGATGAAAGCGAGGCAGAAGTGTGGAGAAGTGGTGCACACTGGTGGCACACCTGAGACCCACGTTCAACACTCAGGGAGACTTTCCATGTAGTGTGTCCATGTCCCATTCCGTAGCCTGCCGCTACACCCTAGAATTTGGACTGGGCTGTGGACTGGGGATGGGCAATATTTTTGCTCCTGTGAGTTCTGGGAAACCAGTGGACTATAGTGAGACCAAGTTTCAAAGAGTTCTGCAAATTGCTTTAAGGATTTTGGGCTACCGGAGGGAGTGGACAGAGAGAAGAGATGGCACGTGACCTTAGTGAAGGCTGTGGGTAGATTTGCATTCTAAGGGTGGCAGGTGAGCAGTCTTTATAAATAATCTTTCTGAGACTGAATTTGGAGTGGACTTTTTGTCTGGAGAGAGCAGTGAGATTGGCTGCAGCTGCTCTGGCCTGGCAGACGGCACCTTTCAGGATGTGCAGATGTAGGCTGCTTGTAAGACAGCTTGCAAGGCAGAAGATCCGAGTGTCCTACAAGACGGGTGTCTCCTTAACGTGCTGTGGGTCAGTACGGTGGCCTGGGCCAGGCAGCCTCTCTCGGGGGAGGGAGATGGGCTCCTTCACAAGCCCCAAGAGAGCCTGCTCTGCTTGGAGGAAGACGTTTCTGACTCTCTGGAAGCACAAGCCTGCGCTGTTGTGTTTTTTTTTTTTTTGTAGGAAAGAAAACATTCTGATGGCAACTTTGCCTTCAAAGAAACCCTCTATCCTGGAAGGAGGCTGCTTGGCCGTGAGCAGAGGAATGTGTTTCAGAAAACAGAGCACCAGAGAAGGGAGCCCCGCATGGCTGCTGGGGTGTGGGCCCAGCAGAACTTTATGCCGTTTCTGCAGGTCTCTGGGCCAGGCTCCTTGTGACAGACATTCAGGTTGAAGATGTGATGATGCAGAGTCGGATGGGGCAACTCACACTTGCCACTGCCTGTAAGTCAGTGGCGGCTGTCAATTCTCTGGTGAAGTGACTGTGATGGGTGAGTCTGAGGGACAGGCAGTGAATGGATTACTAGTGGGTGGTGGGAGAGTCTTGTAGGTAACCTCTTAGGAGCATTATAAGGGGAAGAACTGGGGGAGGGGGAGAGAGAGATATCCTCTATCTACTTGTTCACTCCTCAGATGGCCACAGTGGCTGGCACTGGGCCAGGACAAAGCCAGGAGCTCCATCCAGGTCTCTCATATGGTGTCAGGAGCCCAAACCCTGAGCCATCTTCTTTAGCTTTTCCCAGGCCATTAACAGAAAGCTGGACAGGAAGTGGAGCAGCCAAGACTTGCACTGGTGGCCATATGGGATGCTGACGCTGCATGTGGCAGCTTTACCTGCTACGCCACAGCACCGGTCTCCAGAGACAATTCTTTTTTTTTTTTTTTTTTTTTTTTTAAGGCAAAGAGTTTATTGGGGACAATCCAGCAGACTGGAGGGGAGGGACGAAGAAGGATAAGAGAGAGAGAGAGTATGAGAGAGAGAGAGAGAGAGAGAGAGAGGAGAGGAGATAGTGAGAAGAGAAGATAGAGCAGAGAGACGAGAGGAGGAGAAGAGAGCAGAGAGCAGGAGAGGAGAGCCAAGAGAGAGGAGCCAAGAGAGCACGTGTTCAGGAACAGGTCCTTTTAAAACTTTGCCCGAGGGCGGGCAGGGAAGTAGGAGCAGTGGATCCCATTAGGATGGGGGTGGAGCTTGACAACAGAGGTTGGGCCATGTGGCCACCTGGCTTTTAGCAATGGCAGCAGGGGGCTAGAGCTTGGGATGTAAATCAGGGTGTAGATTGCGCCATAGATAAAACTGCCAGTTTCCTAACATTCCCCCCTTTTGTTTTTTATAAAACAGGAGTTGTATGGGATTACATTAGTCCCGAAAGTCCTGGAGGGGTAGAGGGCCGATGATCTGTCTTTAGAACTACTTCCTGCTGATGTGGGGTGACAGGTGCTCTTTGCTGGCCTGGGGCGATGTCGCAAGCTGCTGCAGACTATTCTTTAACCCAGAGAAAGCAGTACTCTCGCAGCCAGGGCTGCTTTGTAGAAAGCAGTTTTTGACCTTTGGGAATCTGAACCCAAGTCTCAGCCCGAGGTGTGTGTATGATTGTGAGGGTGAGAGCAAGCCCTGCATGTGAAGTAAATGTTCTTTGCAGGGATTCAGCAGGAGAACAGGATGGGATAATGTGTCTGAGACTTCACAAAGTATTTCTCTTGGTGCATTTTCCCTTTCCCAGTTGGAGCAGATGGACTGTTCTGAACCTGGCAGCATAGAGTCTCCAGAGCTGGGCTCCAAAGCCCAAGTCCTTAGGGAACTAAGAGTGTTTTTGGAAAGGACAGGACATTTAGAAGCAGCAGAAGGAAGAAAAAAGGACTTCTCCTGTGGGGAGCAACTCGGACTAGACTGTTACTGGAATTGAGACTTATTCTATGCATCTGCTCTCCCACAATATGGCGCTGAGAAGGGAGTAACAACTTCTACGCAGCTGCCTCCAGTTCAACCAGTAACCTGCAGGAGCTGATCCCGCTCCTGATTGGAGGAGAGCAGCGTACTCGGCGTGTGGGTAGCAGAGTTGGGATTGGTGGAAGAGGACTATAAAGGAGGAGAGAGACAACATGCACCAGGAACACCTGAGGAACATCTGAGCAGCCCCCGAGAGAGCCGGCTGGCGGTGTGCCGCTCCCCCGTGGAAGTGGGGAAAGTGGCAGGGGGAACCGCCCTTCCACGGAGGTGGAAGGACGGTAGCCAACCCGGGAAAAACCAGCAGCAAACCTGGGGAGGGCCGAGCAGGCAAAAGAACAGCGCAGGGTCTAGTGTCGTTCCTCCACGAAGAGGGGGAGCGACATAATGGTGCCGTGACTCAGATATGAAGCCTAGGCAGGGTTTAGTGTCATTCCTCCACGAAGAGGGGGAGCGACATTCTCCCAAGAGTAGTAAGGTATCCTGGGCTGGGGGGTGAGAAGTGGAAGCAACTGAGCCATTGGCTGGCTGAGAGGGGCTCTGAGTCCTGTGTGCTTAAACACCTCCCAGCGGCCTGGCTTTGTGGGGCGCCTCAGAGTGGGTGCCAGTGACCTCCCAGATGTTCCTGTGCACCAAGGGCCAGGGGCTGCAGACGGTTTCCCACACTGGGATCTCCAGACTATACCTTGTCCCACCTGGTCTGGGGTCCTTGGTCCACGTGGGTCTCATGGGCGTGTTCTTTATGGTATGTGGTCTTCATGGCCCTGTCTGGTCAAGGAACTCTCTCTGCCTCTTCCATGTCAGGTTAGAGGAATGAGGCGTCTGTTTTGCTCGTACTGCGGTTACACAGACATCTGTATGAGGCAGGCTGTGGCCCGGGTGCCTCCCTGTACCTCTGTCTGAGGTCCAGGTGCCTCTGTGAGGTTCTCCCCTGCTGCCGTGTCCTGTGACCTTCAAGTTCTGGGGTCTCTTACTCATCAACTGTCCCCACTGGAAACCAGAGTGAGGCTCAGAGAAGCCTGCTTAAAAGAAAAGGAAAAGCTTTGTTAGGGACACAAGTTTATACATTCTCATACTTATATTCAAGCCATTCCAGACTATGTGGGCGATCAATGATGGTCAGAGCCTATTCTGGCTGAGGTAAGTGCCAATAATTTCCCTAGAAACAGCACTTCGGACATTCCAAGTGCCTTTCTGGAGACAAAGAATTCAGGCGTTGAGAAGTAGGTGAGTTTCTCCTAAAGTAGAATTTTTCAAGGAATGTCTCTCAGGCTCCTGCTACAGACCCTCAAATAATATCAATCCCCCAGCTTCTGACCTTGGGATGGCCACGGTTAATCCCAGTCTCGCCCAAGGAGAGCTGCATGCTCATTAGAGACTAGGTCACAAAATCAACGTGGGAGGCAGAAGTTCACAGTGAAAATTGCTCTCTCACATTCCTAAATCTTCAACTGACTATAGGTGCTTGGGTATAGTGACGGTGTTGTACTCAGACTTTCTTTAATCCTGGAATCGTATTCAGCGTGGTGAGCTGCCCAGGTGAATGGGAGGTGCGCCAAGGGAAGCACACTTTGTACCTCTCAGAGTAGCCTCACTTTGGGCTTTGAGTGGAATTTTAGACAATGATGTCCATGATTTCCATAATTCTCCCCCGTTGGTAGAACAAATATTGAACTATCTTGGACACTGTTGAATGCATAAGGAAACATCCAGGAACTTGATCTCAAAGGATACACAGTCCCATCCTTGAGATGATTAAATAGTAATATAAGTGGCACAGGTGGGTGTTTGGTCTGTAGGTTAAGATGCTGGGTTGTGAGTGGTGGCCGCATTGTGGCACGGCTGGTTAAGCCACCTCTTGTGATGCCAGCATTCTACATGAGCGATGGTGAGTTGAGTCCCAGCTGCTCCACTTCCAATCCAGTTCCCTGCTAACGTGCCTGGGAAAGTAGTGGAAGATGGCCCAATTGCTTGGGCCCCTGCCACTCATGTAGGAGACCCTGATAGAGTTTCAGGTTCCTGGCTTCAGCCCTGCCCAGCGCAGACATTTGGGGAATGAACCAGATTGGAAGATGTCTCTCATTCTCCCTCTCTGTCACACACACTCTTTCTCTCCCTCCCTCCCACCCTGCCTCTCTCTCTCTCTAACTCTTCTTTTCAAATAGATAAATAAATCTTTAAGAAAAAAGGTGCTGGGTTGGGTGCCCCTGGGTTCAAGTCTTGGCTCTTCCCTTGTTTCCAGGTACTTGTTAATGCAAATCCTGGAGGCAGCAGGTGGTGGGCTAAATGGATGAATTCCTCCACCCATGTGGGAGATCTGGATTGGGTTCTTGCCTCCTGGCTTTGACCTTGACCAGTTCCAGGTCGTTGTAGGCATTTGACCATTGTAGGCAAATAGGAAATTCTATCTGTCTCTGTCTCTCTGTCTCTGTTTCCCTGTCTCTCAATTAAATAGTAAAAAATGAAAAGAAATAAATGATAGTATATGCATTTCACAGTAATCTTACCATGTCTTGGTTCTGGATCTTTCACTGTGGCTTCATTTTTAGGTTTAGTGGGTTGGCAAGAAGTCTACCCATTCTGCAGCTCTGCAGCTTTGCAGGTTATGTCCATGGATGGAACAGAGCTTATTGCCAGATGTTCAGAATATCTTGTTGGATCCTGATCAGCTCATGTGCCTATTCTTAAACTTATTAGTGTGAGTGGTGGTGGTGGTGGTGTACGGATGGTCAGAGTAGGGAGCAGAAATAGCAGACACGGCCGGCACCGCAGCTCGCTAGGCTAATCCTCCACCTGTGGCGCCAGCACCCCGGGTTCTAGTCCCGGTTGGGGCACTGGATTCTGTCCCAGTTGCCCCTCTTCCAGGCCAGCTCTCTGTTGTGGCCTGGGAGTGCAGTGGAGGATGGCCCAAGTGCTTGGGCCCTGCACCCACATAGGAGACTGGGAGGAAGCACCTGGCTCCTGGCTTCGGATCAGCGCGGTGCATCAGCCACAGCACGCTGGCCGTAGTGGCCATTTGGGGGGTGAACCAATGGAAGGAAGACCTTTCTCTCTGTCTCTCACTATCTAACTCTGCTTGTCATAAAAAAAAGAATTATTAAAAAAAAAGAAATAGCAGACCCCTGCAGAATGCCTGGATCCATGGATCACATTGAACCTTATGTTTTTTTCTGTATGATAAAATTTCATTTATAAATTAGGCATGGTAAGAAAAATAATAATAATTATTAATAATAAAACAGACAATTGTAAAAATATACTGTAATAAAAATTACATGAATATAGTCCCTTTCTTTCTAAAAATATCAATATCATACAGCTGTCTATCAGTATATGAGCAGAATTGGCACCAGCTACCAGAATCTGTGGCTACTCAGGTTGTTCATTTAACCTGGTGCAGTGTTTGCATAGAATCTTCATACATCCTCCTCAATACTTCATTTGAGGGGCAAGGAGAGGGAGAGAGGGGAGGGAGGGAGGGAGGAGAGGAGGAGGAGGA